CCATTGGTGGTAAGTGAATCGTAATAAATTTATTCAACGCGAGTGAACGCGAAATGGCTTGATCTTTCTTTCACAATAATATCGAATATTCTGCTTTCTCATTTCTTAACCAGTGATATTAAATTCTTTTGTAGATAATCAAGATATGGCTTTTCTGCAGAAAGGGATTGAGGATCTTAGTCTTAGAATGGAAAGTGGTTTTAGGAAGGTATACCGCATTGTGGAAGCATCGAGCCTTTCATCAGGTATGTTTTTCATCTGGTCCATCAATCATTTCTACCATTAACGTTTCGTGTTTAGGTTTTGTAACGGAAACTCAATTGGGTAAAACTGTGCTAGATGATGGAACAGAAATTGCCTTCCCGCTCAACATAACCGAAAGTACTAAAGGACGTGCGCCTGGAAAATTTTCAGACGTACCTGGTAGAGACGCAAGTGAAAAAGAAATACAAGATTATTTCATGAGCGAGTGTAGTGTACTAGAAAATTATGGTCCTATAAAAGACAAGCTTAAACTTACTGTTGAAGATACACGTCAATCTCCGGTACTAGGAACTCGGAAGCCCGACTTTATATTTATTCGAAAAAATACAAATGTAGATTACTTAAATATTATGGCCATCGGTGAGATAAAGAAACGAACTAGTGAAAACTTTAGCAATGCGCAAATAGGACAAACAATATCATTCGGAGAAAAACTACTCCAACTTCAGCCACGGCGAAGTTCTGTTTTAGTACTTTTGACAAATTGTATCAACATTAATATCTATAAGGTGACTAGGGTTGATTCCAATCAACAGACCCGGTACAGATATGAATTTGTGCCATCCCGACCTTTAATGTATAACTCTACTAATGACAATGGATGGAAATACCTGGTATCAATTATGGAAAGCTCTCCGCAAGACTTGGGATGGGTCGAACCATCGTTGACATTTGGAAATGACACTGTAAAACTGATTCGATCTATCGGTGTGGGAAGAACAAGTATCGTTTATGAAGGGGAACTTAATGAATCTGAACCTGTGGTTGTGAAAATGGCAAAGAAGAATGATTATTTGCCTTGTTTTGAGACGGAAATGAGAGTTTTAGAGAATCTGTCAACATTGAATTCGCCTCATATTCCAAAAATCCTTCGTTACAATGATAACGCCCTCGTTATGACTCCAATTGGTGTGAGAGTTAATAATTTGCGAAGAGAAGACATTGGAAGTATAATTACCACTCTTCGAGATGTTCATTCACATGGGATCATACATAGAGATATCAGAAAATTTAACTTTATTCGTATGATAGATGATTTAAGAGAGAATATTATTATTGTCGACTGGGGTTATAGCACAAATAATGGAAGTACCACACCTTTTGCAGGGGCATTAGAGTGCATGCCAGACAACGTCCTGCAATCATTAATCAATGATGAAGTGATTACTTATGGACCACAAGTTGATTTGATTTGTTTTGTGCGTTCATTCTATCTAATGCTCCATAGACCATCACTGGATAGAGTTCCCTTCGATAAACAAGATGATGTCAAACAACGAGCACAAATATTGTTAGATTTCTGGAGTGATAGTAGACAATCACTTGTATGGGCTCAAATTTATAATTCAATAGATAAATTAGACTATAACCAATTAATTCGAGATCTTGAAAGTTTATTTTAGATTTGCTAGTTTTAGATAGTTTGAATTTAATCGTTAATTGCTACATCTATTATAATGGCTTGATATAACCAAAACCGAATGCAATAGCTTACTGGTTTCCATTACATATATTGTATCAATAAAAATCAATAAAGCATTGTTTGCCCTTGTTATTTTTTTTATCTCGTGTATTCGAATGTATAACTGTACATTGGAATGTTTAACATAATAAAGCTTATATGCCAATTTTATTACACTATT